GGGTAGAGCAGCGGGGGCGCGGTCGGTTGGTCCTGCAGCGCTGCTCTGGGTACTACTGGACCACCCCAGCAGCACCCCAGCTGCTCTGCCCCAGGCGCCCCAAAGCCAGCCGCTGCTGAAACTGACCAGCGCTGACTACAGGAAGCCCGAGGCAGAGTTGCTCTGCCCCAGGCTTCCTGGAATCAGTGCTGATCAGTTTCAGCAGCAGCTGACTTGGGGAAGCCTGGGGTTCTTAAGTTGAATCTGTATGTAAGTCAGAACTGGCGGTCAGTTTCAGCAGTGGCTGAATGTGGACCGCCCCAAAGCCAGCCGCTGCTGAAACTGACCAGCGCTGACTACAGGAAGCCCGAGGCAGAGTTGCTCTGCCCCAGGCTTCCTGGAATCAGTGCTGATCAGTTTCAGCAGCAGCTGACTTGGGGAAGCCTGGGGTTCTTAAGTTGAATCTGTATGTAAGTCAGAACTGGCGGTCAGTTTCAGCAGTGGCTGAATGTGGACGCCAGTTCCGACTTACATACAGATTCAACTTAAGAACAAACCTACAGTCCCTATCTTGTACGTATCCCGGGGACTGCCTGTATACCATCATTTTCTCAAAGCGAGACACTGCTATCAGCGACTCACCTGACAGACCTTCATTTTATATTGCTTTCCTCTCATTTAGGGACACAGAAACTGAGTATACCCAAAAGAGATTCCAGCTATGAATCTCACTACAGTAGTTTTATAGGACTGCAAAACATGGCATTAAGGGCAATCTGATGTCAAGTGCCATAAACTTGAGGTATCAGAATGCAATTTAGCTACAGCAACGGAGCCTAGACATGAACCCTACCATTTGTGTTGTCTCCAAATTCATGGACATGGAAGCCATGTTTTCCTTCAGTCAAACCTTCAATAGTTCCTGAGAGTGATACCGGTCCAGTACCCTTCAAATGAGAAAAATGGTTGTGTTAGTCTAATAATTCAGGACTTGTAGAGCAGTGGTCCCCAACCATTTGAGGTTGCCAGGCACCTGGGGCCTGTGCCCCCCTAGTGCAGGACAGGGGTGCCAGTAAGTTGAATAGGGATGCAAGATCTGGGCAGGACGTGAGGTGCAGGATGGGTAAAGGAGGGTAGGGTCTAGGAGAGTCTGATGGCAGGAGAGGTGGGTGTGCTGGGGATGCGGGGGGTTGGGGGAAGTAATGCAGAAAGGGAGAGGGTAAGAACTCAGCCACACAGCTAGTTGGGGAGGGAGGCAAAGAAATGGGGAGTAAAGGAAAGCACAGCTTCTGCTAAGTAAAATTGTATCCCCCCTCTCATCTTCCCTCTGCTCCAGCTTTGCTCCTCATAGCACCGTGATGACCCAATACCTCATCCCCTCCCATCCTCCTTCATCCCTCCTACCCCCCATGGGTGGGGAGGGGGTAGATGAGAGTCACTCCCCTGCCTGGCTCAGCCCTTTGCTAAGGCTGCTGCTCTGGGGCTAGGGCAGGTAGAGCCTGTGGGCAGGTTCTAGTCCAGGTAGGCACTGTGGGGCACTGGGGAAGGGGAACCCCACCCATGCACACACTCCACGAGGAGCAGCACAGCCAGGACCCTGCCATCCCACAAAGGTGGCAGCAGCTTGTCACCAGCCACCCAAGCCTCAGATCTGCAGAGCAGCTCCAGCCCTGTCCCAGAGCAGAGCCTGTAGTGAGAGGGAGTTAACTCCTTAGCTCCTGGGAGCTGCACACCCAGGCTGTGCAGGGGCAGCTCCATGGACAGAGCCCAGTACAGGTCATGCCACCTGCTCTGCTTGCTGGGCCACCCCAGTCCCCTGCCTCCCTGCTCCTTGCCCTTCCAGCAGGAAGCTGGTGCTGCAGCTGCATGGCAGCCACAAGACTCCAGCCACTTCCAGGAAAGTTCCTATTGTGCATGCCATTCAAAATGGGCTCACATGTCACACCTACTGTAGGTTACTGACCCCTGCTATTTAACAAACAGTAATTATTCTGTGGGATTAAGAAAGTTATTTTGGCATCAATATTTTGAGACCCTTGTCAAGAGCCACATGCCTTCAAGGGAGTGTGAGCAATTTCATGCCTTAAATTGAAGTAAGGTATTTTTAAACTCTTCCCCTTGTAGTATAAATACTGTGATTTCCTCATCCTTAGCACAGAAGTAATCTTAATTAGCCTCAGTTTATTCTTGAGTTAGGTAAAGGATGTCAACCTTTGTATCATCTTCTGTTTCCATCCCTCTTTAGACAGAAGTTTACTAAACTGCCTATCTGCAGGCAAATTTAGGGTCTACCCAGGTGCTACATTTGGTAATGACTGAAGGCAAGAGTTACAGAGAATGCTGTCCAATAGAGATTTTCCATGGTACTGACTACTGCTTAACTGCTTTAAACCTGCCGAACATTTTCAAAAAGTGAGCCTAGGAGTTTAAAATCATTACTTTGTGAACCTTAAAAATAATGGACTGAACAGACAGCAGAAAAGCCCATTCTCACTTTTGCCTAATGAATGCAGTGGCATTAACAGGGCACACCACCAAAATAGTCCTTTACAATGTATGCTCACTAGAGAAGTAAAATCCTGTTTAATTAGTTAACTGGTTAACCAATTAAACAGGTGGGCGGGAGGCTATTCCACCACCTCAACCTGTGGCACACCCAGGCCAGAGCAGCCCCATGCCACAGGCAAAGGGCTGCTCCAGCTAGGCCCTGACTGGATCAGCCCATATGTGCTGGAGCAGCCCCCACCAGTTAACCCTTCACATACCTAATACTAACCAATTTGTTTCACTTTGCATTTTGCTGTCACCATTCCCAGACCTGCAGAAGAGCTAAGTGGTCTAAAACCTAGTCTCATCAACAGAAGTGGGGCCAATGAAAGTCACTCCTCCCACAAGTCTCTTAGCTTAAGATGTCAGTTATGAAACTACATTTGTCATGCAGTTTTAAGTGGCTGCCTCCCTTTACCAGGAACTACTGCTATGCATATTACTACTTGAGTAAAACTGATGGGTAACACATGCCCTCACCAACACAAGTAAAACTCACCAACACAAAATCCTTGTGTATGTTCATTTACTATTACTTTTTCCCAGGTTACCTTTAGTTCAACCCAGAAGACACTTCAGTCAGAGCAGCTCTAAACTATCCACAACTTGTGTAATTGCTAGTTAAGAACACAGCCCTCCAGCAGCTTCATAAAAGCTTAAGTTCAATTGCTGTTTTGTTGCCACTATGTACACAGGCAAGCTGAGTCAGTCCTACCAACACTGTCCCTTATACACAGAAGACTTTGCCAAGTCTTCCAGAAGACAGAACATTGCAGCCTGTAGGACACTGGTTCCCAAACTGGGGGCATGAAGAAATTCCAATGGTGCATCTGCCCCAGTCAGTTCCTTTTTTTGCTCAACAAGTTTTGCTGGGGCCTGAGCCTTTCCCCAAAATCAAGAAGGGGGCGTGATGCCAAAAAGTTTGGGAACCACTGCCACAGGATGTATTATGCCAGTGCTAGTGACAACAGGGCCGAGCTGTAAGCCAGCCAGCACCCACACTTGGGCTTTAGTCAATGCGGTCACCAGCAGCTCAGCTCTCTAGGGCAGAGCAGACCTTGGGCTCGGTCCCCACTGATCCCAAGCAGCCTGGGACTGGCGCCTGAAAAAGCCATTTGGAGGGGCAGGCTTGGCCACATGGGTGGAGGAGCTGAGACCCGGCCCAAGGAGCCCCCTGCCCTGCCACCCGGGCAGTCCAGGCCCCCAG